TTTTTTTACTTTATATAAAATTTAAAACAAACTCAATTTGTACGTTTATACTAAATTTATTATAATTGCATTTCAAATAGTTCTAGGTTTAATTCAAGGAAAAGTATACAACAATGAATAACAACTAAAACTTGAACTAACACTAGCATTAGAACTAATACTAAACCAAGAACTAGAAACATTCGGATTTAGCCGAACGTCTGTTAAGACGGCTAAACCCGAATGCTTCTAGTTCTAGGTCTGGTGTTAGTTCTACTATTAGTTCAATAAAAACGTACAACAATCTAGCACTGAATAATAAGTAAAACTAGAACTAACACTAGCATTAGAACTAATACTAGACCTAGAACTAGAAACATTCGGGTTTAGCTGTCTCAAGACACGTAGCCGTACGTACTCAACCCAACCCTTTTCTGACCGTCTAAAACTCTTTCCCCTCTTTTCCCGAAACCGCCTTTCGGACATTACTTCGCGGAAACCAAACGTCTTTCATCGTTTCCGTCCTTCCGCTCATATAGACGCATCTTCATTTTTTGGTGGGCTTGGAACAGTAATCAGTTCATTCATCAGTAATCAGTCTTAAAGAGGCTCTTCTCTTTTCTCCATTGCTTGCACTCCTCATTATGGGAGACATATGATCCAATTACCTTTTGGATTACTTTACTTATTGATCATACCTAGATGGAAAGGAATCTCATTACTTTTTGAATTATTATCTCTTACTTACATATTTATTATTAAATTAGGGGAACCCCCTCCAATCATCTTCTTCTTCCCAGTTTTCTTCCGTCCACCTCTTTTTGGTACTCGATCTTCTCTTTATAGCCCATGATCTTCGCTAACATGTTAACAATGGTATTCCACTTTGGCTCCGAGCACAACATCATTTTTTCGACGTTTCTACTTTCTAGCTCTTCTTCGCATACTGCTCTACACTCCTTCCTTATTTCTATATGCTAAGACTCTCCACAGAACCAACCAAGTCAACAACTCCGTCTCTGTTCACCCAGGATACCAAGTCCGGGATAGCATTCCTCCATGAGTTCGGTTCTAAGTTCACCCTTGAAACCCTTTCCTCTTTGGTACATGGCATTCCTCTCGTCCACCATGAGATCGACCGGTGGCATTCGGGCTACCACCTCTACTCCGACATCCGGGACGGTACGATAAGCGGAGGCAACCCTGATACACAGCGTTTTGTGTGCCGATTGCAGAAGTCTTCTATAATTCTGCAAATTTAAAGCTTCCTTCCATGGTGTCGGCGCGGCGCATAGTAAGATTCGCTGCACCTGCGATGAGCTTTCTTCTGCTGGCCCCCCGCGATTGGCATCAATTTTAGAAGTATATTCGACATACGTGACGTTCTTAGCGATTTCGACTACTTGTCTGGACATTATCATGTCTCTATTAATGACTACACCCAGATACTTAACGCTTTCCGAACTTTGCACCGCTGTTCCCCATACGTCGATACTCAGCTCTTTGATCTTTCTTCGTCCCTGCACCATCTCAGTCTTCGCAGCGGCCACTTTCAGTTTCATTTCTTGAAGCCTTCCAATGATCTTTTGCACGGCCCACTTGGCTTTGTTCAGCTCTGTTTTTGTGAGTTTTATGTTTCTATGAGGTTTATCTCGTCTTCTACATTGACTGTCAATATGTCATCGTAAAATACGTTCTACAATGTAGAGTCCCAAAACTGATCTTTTCAGCACACCACTATAAATGGGCAAGGTTCTTCTGTACGGAGTTGCTATACCACGATTTGAAAGATAAGATTTGATCATTCCGACTAAAACCCAACCCAACCTGATCTAGTTCCTGCCTTTTTCTAGTTTTAGGTCTACTTTTAGTTCAATAAAAATATACAACAATCTAGCTCTGAATACTAAGTAAACCTAGAACTATCACTAGAACTAACACAAGACCTAGAACTAGAATCATTAGGGTTTAGCCGTCTTGAGAGACGTGCGGCTAAACCCGAATGATTCTAGTTTTAGGTCTAGTGTTAATTCTAGTTTTAGTTCAATGAAAAATATTCAACAATCTAACGCTCAATAACAACTAAAACTAGAACTAGCACTAATCTGCGGAATGAATTCCTAACTATAGTAAACTATAGTAATAAATTCTTTAACGTTATATAAAATTTAAAACAAATCCAATTTGTACGTTCATATTAAATTAATTATAATTGCATTTCAAATATTTTACACAACTAGTAACAAATGCAATGCAGTTTTAATTTAATTCATATTAATGAACATTTCAAAGAAACGTAAACTAAAATGAAATAATTTGGTTTAATTTACAATACACTATGCAATTAGCTATCATTAAAATTCAACGTGTCTGCTTTCACATATTAATATGGTCAATTAGTGTAACATTAAAAATGATTTAAAATATTCATAATATTTCATGTTGGAGTGCTCCGCAAAAACTATTCCACTTTAATGAAAATGTTTATAATTAACTTTACATTTATGTAATAATTTTTATTTTATACTTACACTTCACTACATTTTCCAAATTATGTATTTATTTTCGAACGTTAACTTTCGCATGAATGAATTTCAGTAAAAAAAAATTGCAATTCTCACCGCATTCGAAGTTATCTTGTGTAAATTTCCGACGTCTCCGAGAAACTGGCGCATTTATATGCAACAGCCTATCTCTTGTTTCAGCTTCATAACTCGTCGGAGAGTCAAGTCGTGTTATCTTCGGTTCAGTTGTCAACTACGGGCCTGTACCGATGCGAGGTGTCGGGCGAGGCGCCTTACTTCCAAACAGTCACCGAACATGGCCAAATGATGGTGGTGGGTAAGTACAAAAATTTCCATTTTAGAAACGAAGAGAGTTAAAATAGTTAAAATATCCCTCTTCGGCTTAAAACGCTTTCCTTTCGCCCCTCTAAAAGGGGAGAAATGGCCCAGGACAATTACTCAATGCCAGGAAAAGGCTAAACTCGCCTGTGTCTTATGTTAATCTGATATAATCCTGTCTGGTTAGCTGCATGGACCTGAGGAGGCCAGCCATTACTCAGCGCTGAGCCCCTCAGCGCCCCCTCTAATGAATGCAAAGTCTTTGTCCAAATTCAAGCTTTACGTCATCTATCCTTGGAGTTTTCATCCCCTTTGAAAGATATCGATGAAGGAGTAAAAATCACTACCGTTAATTTATATCAGTTTCAATTTTTTTTTACCTTCTCCCTAAAGGAAATTGCTTTAATACGCCGTGCTATTTCACACCCAACCTGAAGGATTGCGTGATGCTACTTCACGTCTATGTGATCTATGACCAATTTTAGCTTAGTAGGAATATATCGATGTGCCAAAATTAAAACTGTTCGTCGCAGATAGGGGAGGTTGATTTATGTTTCCATAACATGTAGGATAGCGTCAATATATTTCATTTAGAACACTTTTTTGAGTTATAAAAATTTGTTTAAAATCATAATTATTATATAAAAATAACTTTTTTACATATCTATAAATGTTATTAAATATTCCTTCATTAAGAGTTCAAGTTACAGGTGGGTTTAGACCGGAGAGGTTATTATTATATTTAATGGGCCATAAAACTGATGGTAAATTATATTATACAGTATGTTTAGACTTTAGTTACCGTTAATTGGGGTATAATTAACTTTAATTTTCGTAATTTTCGAATGCAAAGGGTGACAACGGATATGAGGGCCTCAACAATGCACCTGCTGTATATATTCTGTATTATTTATGAGATTTATGTAATGTTGTGTCTCGATATCAATGCAATTGTAAACATTTTTTATTTACCGTTAGTATGTTAGTAAAGTCTTGTAGTTACTTAGCCAGTTTTAACAAAGGAAAATAAATCTTTGCAAACATCTGCTTATTTTCTGTAAAGTTTTCTCTCCACAATCAAAACACGTGCTTTTTCTAATTTAACCTCCTACAAATCTGCTATTCCTTGGACTTTGGTGATGAGATGAAGAGTTTGGTGTTGCCCCGGCTGTGTTCTTATTTCTTTAGATGTTGTGCTCTTCATCAAAACACTAAAATCTCCCAGGAATTCTTAGATTGAGTTTTTATTAATCACTTCAATGTTCTCGTTTCAAGACAAATTCTACAAAGGAAGGTTTGGTAACCCATTGGAAAACCCTCGCAACCTCATTTTGTCTAATGACTTCTTCATCATTTTTATAAAATGTTAATTATGTAGTAAAGTCATAAAACGATCTCGTACAAAAATAGCTCGTCTATAACTTGATTCAACGTCCAATAATCGAAGAGTCAAATGACTACTATTTAGTTCCACATATTTCCTCTAATAAGACTAAATCATTCCATAAAGAATTGTATGACACTGTGACATTTTAATGGATCCATTAACATCATAAACTTTGCAACAATTCAAAAGTGGCCGAATTTCCCAAATTGCCCACCCCTTCAAAATTCAATAATAATCATCATCAATTTTGTTTTTTATATATTCTTTTAACTTGTTGTTCAACACCTTAAACTTTTCTAATTGCGTTCATCATCGATCTAGCTTCCCCAAATCCCTACTAACATTTTTATTCACCCTTCTATTTAATTCAGGCTTCTATCTTATTCAGTCTACCCCTGATTGACAGTGATCATTGCCTCGAGGCAGATTGAGTAATAAGTTGTCTTCCATCCGGGTCATCTTTCGGGTTTTCTATCAATACAAAGCCCGACACTTTCCAAGTATAACGAAACTCTTCCTTCTTGAGACATTTATTTTATATGAACAGGAAGGTTTCTATTCTTGACCCCTTCATTGACCTCTTTCCATTCTCCCACCTTATATTGGGAATAATTTGATACTTGATCCTTCCACACTGTATCAACCTCAATTTCGACCCTCTTGTTGTATCAATTATATCTCAGTCTTTCAGTGATATTTTAAAATAACTCTGTTTTTTAATTTGATTTTCTATCGATAGCTAAAACTTTACAAATGAAAAAGCTAAAGAAGTTTAAAACTGAAAATTGTGATAAATGTTGGTAATTAGTGCCATACTTTTGGTTAAGTGCAAACCGTTCAGAGAAGAAACATTAAGTAAACTTCAACTGTTCAGAAACATCTGAGTGATTCGAGCGATGCAATTATAGTGGTAATAAGAGGAATGCAGTCGTCAAGGGGGGTCGAACTTCGTGTCTTAGGGATGAGGAGTTGTTAGAGGTGTAGGGAGGTGGGAGAGTGAAAATGGACGTTCCGCAGTTGGTAATGGATCCGCGGGTTCAAAACGTAGCGGAACTTGCCGTCGCAATACAACTGGCGCCTCAATTTACACAAAGCGAGTAAATGGTCGGCTTACTTCAAAGTGAAAATACATAAAATAGCATAACTTGAACACTCGAATTCTACTCGCTGTGGAAGCGTATTCAAGGCGACCGTGAAAAAGTTTCCGGTGGGGATCGGTTTTCAATTTTGCGAGCGCATCCGCAAGGGTTCTTGCAAAAAGGACTCGGGAGAGGAAAATGTCCTGGGGAATCCGAAACGCGGCAACCCCTGTTTTATCGGCGAACATTAAACATTAAAGTACATGAAATTCTGTCCGGGACTACAGCCCCATCTGAATTTTTCATGTTGGGCGTCACGGTACCGTCCTGATTTCCGATATCCTTCCGGGTAATCTCCTATTGCAATGCAGTGTTTTATTTACGCCTTTTCCTTTCCACGAAGAGAAACGTCTTTATCTTTCTGTTCATCTCGCAATTAACGCTACATTTACCCCAATTCCAATTAGATGCAGTAAACCTCCATGGAAAAACTATAACAAAGACCAGCTCCTCCACCAAAACCGTAAACATAGCTAAATTACCTCGTAGGGCGAAATAAGGGCCGGGCGGCCGGGGAGTTAGGGTAAAACGTTCGCCGCTATCGGTTTTTGGGGCGGGTAATTACATTTAAGAAAATTGGAGCGCGCGGAACAGGGTTGGGGAATTTTCTTTCCCCCCCTTGGTAAAGAAGCGATACGATCGGTCGTTACTCCGACAATAGGACTGGAACAAGGCGATTGATATTGTATGTGTTTCTAATAAAGATCGACGGAAGGGTGGTACCCAAGAAGGAGCGAAGGTTGACGTTATCGAAAAGTCGCCGATTGAAGGGGTTTTGTTCAAATGAAACATAAATCTGGTACGTTTTTTGACTACCAGCATTGATTGAGAGAGGTGGGTGCTACAGCCCCCACCGACGAGGTCGATTTCCTACAGTTTTCTCGACGCGACGTGCGATCAGATAAAGCCACCACGATATTTCATTATGTAGGTTAAAACGATATAACGCTATTTTTTCGTTAATCATAGCTTAGTTGCGTCACTAATATCAAGTTTATGTAACTATTTACGTCTAGTTTTCGTATAATTATTCTTTATGCATTTGTTACGTTCAGATTTGTCAACACTATACGATAATTGAACGTTCCGCAAAGCACGTATAAACTTGACGGACGCACAAGCACAGAGCAAATATTTAATGTCAACAGGGACGATTTGGTACGAGAATGAAACGGATCTGTCGTTTCGAATACGAAACGTTTCGAATTACGTTACGTCGATGAGAGAATAGCTCCGAAAAATAATTTATTATTTCAACCCTTTTATTGCGAGCCACCCGGGGTGACAAGCCCTCGTTGACAAATGAATAAGTGACCACATACCGGGAAATAAAACGGAGCATTACAGATGTGTTTTATGCGCGTGTTAAGTGGCTTTTAACCTCTTTAATAAATGTTATATTAATATTGCAGTGGACGGAAACCCTGCACACTGTGGCGACTCTGCTATTTAATTAAATCGCAATTATAACCTGTTTTATACACGTAACCGCACCATTAAGTTGTGGCCCATTTAAAAAGTTTTTTAAAGTACTACGTTGGTTTTATAGTTCTGATTTCGTTACAATACATTTTTTATCGTCTTAATGTCAGAGTTAATCACCTTAATATCCAAGTACACATTCAATAACATTAAATTTTCAATCATGAACGTTATCCGCTTTATCAATCATTCATAAGATTTTTTTTATTTTCCTTCTATTACTTCAATCTATCGCATACAACAACAACAAACCTGCTCAATAATAGTAGGTCCCAAAGAAAACCATATTAATGTATAGTTATGACAAACAATAACATTTTTATTTAGTATAACAAATTTAAGATAGGTACGTTCTTTATTCCGATATGGATAGTTTTGATAGGTCCTTTAGCTTGAATCTTTTAATAGTTGCCCGGCGCTATAGATTTTTTACAAGTCGATTTGAATGAATTTGCAGCCTTAGCTTTTATTAGGTACTTGGAACTTCGCTGGACAATTACCTCTTTCACAGTAAGAATATTGAGGTCTTGATGTAAGATGCAATTAGGTACGAACCAAGGTACGTTACATATTTGTCGAAGAACTTTAGACTGAAATCGCTGCAGCTGTAAAATGTTTGATTCGCTAGCCCCATAATTGAATAGCATATTCCCAAACAGGTTTCAGTATGCCAGTATATATAAGCAACTTATTGTCTAGGCTGAGTTGTGAGTCTATTCATAAAACAGTGCATTTTCCTGTAAAATAGGACTATTATACAGGAAAATGAGCCAGGAATAGAAGCCGTTTGGTCCAAATATTTTTTTTCGAAGTTAAGTGATGATCCAGGTAAATTTTAAGAGTATTTAATGTAAGAGTAGGACAGATTCACTTTTTTAGAGTGTATATGATATGAGTGGACTTATTCGGATTTATTTTTACTCATTACTGTGATATTGTAGGTTTTGGGATGCCATTTCAGGAGATGTATGAGTAGCCATAACTACATTATCGGCAGCATATGTAGTAATCAAAGTGTTGTTTGTCGTAGGCATCTCGGCTGTGTATAGAAGATATTCCAAAATACTATCTTGAGGAACTCCAGCATGTATCGGTAGCAGCAGCAAATATGCGTCATTTTGTTTAAAGAAAAATTATCTCTCCGACAGATATGATTCCAATACTGGATAAGGTAGATAGATTTTAAGTTTGGCTATAAGACTGTCATGCCATACTCTGTCGAAAGCCTGTGATGTGTCTAAAAAAGCTGCTGTACAATATTTTTTGACCTCTAAGGCATCTCTAGCTGATCTCACTACTCTGTCCACCTGTTCTATAGTACCATGCTGTTTTCTAAACCCAAATTGATAGTTAGGATTTAACTTTTTCTTTACTATGATGCTCTGAAGTCTCTTCAATAAGAGCTTTTCGAACACTTTTGAAAGCAATGGAAGTAAACTTATTGGGCAGTAGGAAATCCACCATAGTTATTTGAGACACCTTCCATTGTATCGGGAATGATCCTAGTCTCGCGATTGCGAAGAAAATAAGCAGTTGACCATACGTAGTTCATATTAATATTTTTAAGAACCAATCCGGTTATAAGATCATAAGTGGGCGATTTCTTAACTTTTAGGGAGGACCTGTTACATAAGAGGCGCCCAAAGAAGTTTCATTTAGTTCTCTATGCTAAAAGATTCTTTAAATTCGTATTATTCATTATCATCACTATTGATTTCGTCGTTTACATCTTGTGCATTATTGAATTATCTTCCGCTTCTACTTCCTCTAATCATTAATATTAACTAGTCGTGTAAATAATAATAGTCGGCTCCAACAGATAACAGTTCCAACCAATCGTATTGCGAAGTTTCACGATAATATATGATACTTACTAACAAGCGTTAAACGAATGTGTTTTAATTCTTAGGGATATCGAGGAACTTTCCGTGTCTAGAAGAGAGCTTGTTTTGTTTAATAATAAATCGAATTTAAAATTTCATAACTTTCCGAACGAGCGGATTCCTGCTTTACAACACCGCATATTACATCGTTGCATATCTTGGGAAATATCACCTGTGTAATGTTATGTGTTTTTGATTTGACGTAAACTTTGTTTGCTAAAAAAAAATCTTGTATGTAACGTAAACTCTTTAAAGTTTTCTAAATAATCTGGTGCAAAAGCTGCAAAGTCTATTCTTTATTAATAATTAATAAAGCTTTATTAACTTTTTTCCACTAAAAATTCGTATTTGCAGTTTTTTGATTTTAGCTGGCTTTTATAGTTTATTACACTTTCCATTTTTTAAGCTTTTGGTTTTTCTTTATGAGATAAAGTTGAATTAGGTAACATTTTAAAATTATAATAGGGATTTTTTTCTTTTTAATAACACAACTTTGCGTTATGTCGCAAACGTCTCATTAAAGTAACGCAAAATCTTTGCAGTCTTAACATTGTCGATTAGATAATCTACCAACATCAAATTTTTGTACGAATTTTTTCTTTCCTCACAAAGTAGACACACATCCATATACAATGAGAACCATTTCAAGGCATCACGAGTGTGTTGTGTCTTTGAAAATGCTTCAACATAGCCTTTAAGCTTCTTATAAAATTCTTAGTTCAGTTTCTCGTTTTCACCGAGATAAAGGTGTTTTTTTTAAATGTTGACCTACAAGACAAGCATTTGCCATTTTCTCCTTTTCTGTTTTTTAATTGGGACCGTTGTCTGACAAAGTAGCTTCTTAAGACCACTCCCATTCTCTGTCGTAGCTGGCCAAATCCTTAGGTCATATATCTCGTTTGGAGTTCTAAGCATCGATCGGATCTCGATGGGGAACGAATTTGGAATATTTAAAAAATAGATAATTTATTTTTGTATACTTAATATAAAAAGATCATCTTATAGAAAAGAAAAATATAACAATGGCAATAAAAATTATATTAATCGTGGAATAAAAAAAACAACGAACTGAGAGGGATAAAAAAGGCACGCCTGCTGTCTCGAGGTAACGAAAAAGTTAAAAGAAAGAACGGAATAACCGCAGAAAGGCATTGTTTCATCCCCTGATTTAATCTAGCGGGGTGGCCCGAAGAGAAACAGGAAAACTTTACCCTCCCATGTCCTCCCCGCCTCCGTCCTCACTTATTTAAGTTAGAGACCCGAAGATAAAAACTTCTATAACTGGCGGCTGAAGTAATTCAGGTACAAAGGCAGCCCATGGGATCCACATCCTCTTTTTTTATAGCTATCGGGTAATTTTTTGTACGGGATTGGATACGTCAATCAGGTCTGAAATATTGCTGTCTCACTGCGCGGTAACCACGTTCCATACTTTCGCTGAATAGAATTAGTTATGCATCACCCTATGCGGCAAGTATGGAAAAGAAGCGTGGCTAGAAACAATGAACGTCGAGTACCTCGGCGAAAGCCCTTTTGTGCTCGAATGACGCGCCGGCAAAAGAAAAAGATTAAAAATTTCAATACGTGCCGTTCTCGCATAGAGCCACTTATAACCGGGCACTCGACGGGATAAAAACGTTACCAGTTAAGTGGCTTTGTCTTTCCCTCATCTAAGTTTTCTTTGAGATGCACTCGTGGATATCGATTTTTTTTAACGCGTGAGGTGTTCTTTCGATACGGTTATTGCAATGAGTACTTAAATTATAAAAAGTGTATCCTTTAACAAATGATTTTCTTTATTCCAGCTTTACCAGATACAGGTCCGAAGATATCTGGGGGTCGTCCTCGTTACCAAGTTGGCGATACCGTCAGAGTAAATTGTACTTCTGGTCGCTCTAAACCAGCCGCCCAATTGGCTTGGTTCATTAATGGCGAACCTGCGGATTCGGACTTCCTACGAGGTCCTGACATCGTCGTTACTGGCCGGGAAGGTCTGGAAACGTCCGTCCTCGGCTTGGAATTCACAGTCAAACAGCATCACTTCAACAGGGGCGACATGAAGTTAAAATGCCTTGCTACAATCGCTCGTGTATACCTGAGAAGCAACGAGGAATCCGTGGAGGGCGAAAAGCAGCCGAGGGCTTCGGTTCTGGAAAGTAGGGGGACGGTGGCGCCTGCAGGATCTCGAGCGGACAGGGTGCAAGGTAATAAATGGCCCTTTGCTGTGACACCTCCAGTTTAATAATAAAGCGGGCTCGTGATAGATTGCAAGATTTCATATTGCGCGCGAAAAATTGTAAATCTCGGCTGAGATTTCTCCTGAAATTACCTCTTTTCGTGAAGAGGAGTTATCATATCCTGTATTTTCAATGATGCCCTTTTATGAATCTTACATGAAAATATAAGTATAACGAGGGCGATTTCACATCTTCTGTTCTTTTTGTTCAATGGAGAAGGCGGTAAACGTGATCGGATTTACTCCTTCATCGCTTCCATCCTTCCGCGTACCACCTGCGATAAAAATGCCGGATTTCTCATAGCTCGTGGGCATATATATTTAGATATAGAAAATCTGGAAAGAGGGGATTTCCAGCGGGACATATCGCTCGAAATCCCTGTCAGTGTGCGAACTTATCAGCCCGATAACAGACCCAAAAATGTCTTCTACAAGGACATATTGATTGGGGAATATGTCTGTGGAAATGGATCCTGCCAAATATAAGACGTGGGTTGTTTTAAAGCTTTTAGATGTGGCTCAAAAAAGAATATACTTTTGACGTGTTGTTGCATTCTTGGCGACACCAACTTATAGTAGGGCTCATTTTATTTTAAAGGTTTCCCTTAGTGCAGAGTGGCAGTGTCGGAAAATCCAAGGCTTGCCCACCCTAATCCATATAAATGGTGGGGCAAAAGGGACACATTAAGTAACCGGGCCGGCCGTTAAATAAAGCAAAAGTCGAGTAATCCGTCCGGTAAATTCACAAACCGACCGAGTGCTCCGTGTTTCTCTTCTTCGAAGAGGCAAAAAGATCGGAAAATCTCTGACATCCCATTAGCGCGAACCGACCGCGAGAACAAAGTGCTCACTTTTATACGTTCGCGGCGCCACCTACGCCGGATCGACTCCCTCTGTTCCCGACAACTAAGCCAATTCTACAGCTATTCCCATAGCAATCCTCCGTTAAACTTATCTGATTTAGTTTTCTCGCCGAGGCCACCCCAAGTTTTTCATCATTAAAGACCGTGTCGATTCTATCTCATACCACAAATACATTTTTAAAAAATAATTTATATAAATAACAACAAATAAGACATTTAACGTTAATTAATTTATCGAGAATGTTACAAATTTTACTATCTTGTTAACCATGACAGCATATCTATTTCCAGAAAGCCATCCCCAATAATTTACGGCAACGCCACAACTGTCCTAGCTTTATTTATCGATTTAGTAGTAAATGTACTGTTAGACAAGAACGTCTAAAATAAATCGTTATAATCCTTAAAGAATTTTTTAGATACGTTATTATGTAATATTATTTTTTCTTTCTTTTTAGGAAACTATAAAGTTTCTTTCCCGGAAATGTCTGCCTACACAATTCGCACCCTACCTTTATCGCTATGTTTATATTTCCCGTACGTTCGTTGTTTTACGATCCCAAACCATTTCGAAGTTTTCATTACATCGTAACAGTCTGATGATGGGCATCTGTGGACCTAAAATCGATACGGGTTCGATTATCAGATAAAGCACGCAAAAAACAGGGTCGAATTTTAAGACATTCGTTTTATTACACCACGCAACGTACGCTTAAATAAATGAACTTTATCAATTTCTCTTTTCAATTTTTCATTTCATATATTTTCTTTGTTTTCAGCCGCTGGTGGTCCAATGACTTTCATTCCACCACACATCTCTCTTTTGGTCTTCGGTTTCCTTTCAACGACGCTACTTCAAGTCAGGTAATTCCTCAGTTGAACGTAATGAAAGTACCCTCCAAGAGTACTTTTTGAAGAAGTAAATAAACAACAGTGAAAACGAACACGACTGGAAAAGCCAAAGACACTATCGAGTGACTCACGATTTTACGTTTTATCTTTTTACGTCAATTAATAAACCGAACATACCGTAAAACGAAACAAGATTGTCACCTTCGAGAATACTGTACCATCACCATTTTTAGCAACTATTATTACCTTAGATTCTTCTGAGCAGGATGGGAATATCGCTCAAAATAAGCGACAGAACATCCTATCGTGTCAATATCAGTAAACTAAACGTTACCTATAGTAAAAAATGTACATATCTATCGTGTAAGTAAGGTAAAATTTGATGTTTTCAAAGCCGATCGCAGATAAAGAAGATAATCATCTTTTTAATCCATCTAGTCCTTGAAAATGAAAAAATTAAAAAAAAAAGCGGGAGATCTAAGCTTTATTTTTTGATGTACAGTTTAAATTAAGGCGCATTGTATTTTCGTTTTGTGATTCACACAGTCTGATAAACATAATAAAAGTAATTGGAATGAATTGTGTAATTTAGAGGTATCAGATCGCATTCGTTGTATTTCTAGTCTGGATCAATTTGCGTTACAACTATTTAGATTTTTTGAATGCTAAATCAAATGTCGACTGAGTACCAAACGAGTATTTAGCGAAGATGAAAAAAATTAGGAATTGTACGCTTTCTTTATTCGAATCGAAAAAAAAATCTTAAGCAAATTGTTATATAAATATTTTTGTGTAAATATATTTTGAAAGAAACCTGTGATCCTCATCACATTACGTACGTTGGTATATAAGTACATCTACGAAAATAAAAATAAATAAATAATTAAAAGAAAAAATTGATTTAATCGATTTCGTATGTGTACTTTAAAAAAATTAAAATCGTTGAAATTTTCGCTTATCAAAACTCGCTTTGTATGTTTTCGACACGGAATCGTTGACGGCAACGAGAGAAAAAAAAGGGGGAAATTTGTAGATATATATTATACAATATAGATTATTTAAAAGTTTACGTTTTCGGATAACAAATAAAATTATAAGAGATAAATTGGAAATTTGTGCTATCTACTATATATGTATATATAATAATGAGAATGTCTTAAAAGTATATTAAGATATCAAAGAATTTAATTTCAAAATCAAAGTTTTGAAATTTAAATTCTTCATTTCGATCGATTTGACCTATATGTATTTTATTTTAAAAATAAAATAATTTGAAACAAAAATGTGGCTTTTTAATAAAAATTAATGTGGTGAATTTGAAGATTTTTTATAAAGAAGCAGGTAAGATACATTTTTTATAACATTAAATAGATTTTTTTTGGCTTTCTTAGCAAAAAATCCTAGCCTTAGTTGCAAAGCTGTCAAAACTTATACAAAAAAACCATATAAATAATTCAGCGGCTGAAGAGTAGAGATTGACAGCAAGCTGAGATGTTTTTATCGAAAAATGAGCATCTAATGCATCTTCTTTTTGAGTTTTCAGGAATTTGTTCATTACTGAAACACAAAGCAATAAACGGACGAGAAAATTCCTTGTTATAATTAAAGCCAAATATCTTCAGATTAATCATAATGTAGGAAGCAAAAGATGTACAGAAATTTAAATAACTATCACAAATTGGCAAAATTAAGCAAAATACTTCTAGAGGCTGCCAGAATAAAAAAATATCTCCAAAATATATCAGAATGAAGAGAATGTTTCCAGAAACTGACTAAATTAATCAAAATATTTCCAAAAATCGGCCAGTCACCAAACCTAATCCTATTCTACACCATATTATATTAAACGAAGAATAAAAACTTACCGAGTCAGTTAGTACCTACACTTAAGAAATGACAACGTACAAGTTAAGGATTAAAAGATTTGTTATCCCTATGTTACATCATTTTGCTCCTGCAATGCAGACTCTGAGTTTGATTAATTGGGCGATAATGCAGAAGATATGTCGGACATAACGGCAATAATACAAAATATAGCAGAAGTATTAGAACGCTGAATAAACTTACTAAACCTTAATGAAACTAAAAGAATGAGATGCTTTTATTCTTTGAAAACAGCGTTGAGGTTCGAGAACACAACAACTAGGGAAGAGAAAAAAAAACCGTTCTGATTGCAAAAAAGCACACCAACCTTTTTATCTTTGTTTAGATTTGTTAAAAAAATAACCTTAACATTATATGTTAAGAGTTCTTTCGTTTCTCTTAGCAAAAAAATTCTAATCATAATAGCCTTCAGTCACTCAGTTATTCTTATCTTTCTAAAATTATTGTGTACGATTTCAACTTTTTGTTGCAAAACTGGACTATCTTCTACAAAAAAGACCATATAAGCAATTCAGCTGAAGAACAGAGATAGACAGCAAGTTGAGATATATCGGGATACGTCAATACTGTGGTGTCTAAAAAGGACTCTGTTGGAAACATTTAGTGACCACAAAGCAATAAACGGACAAGGATATTCCTTGTTGTATTTAAAGCCAAATATTTTCAGATTACAAGTTAAGAATTAAAAGATTTGTTATCCATATGTTACATCATTTTGCTGCTGTAATGCAAACTTAGAGTTTGATTAATTAGGAGATAATGCAGAAGATATTTCGGACATAACGGCAATAATACAAAGGAAAGCAGACTTATTAGAGCGCTGAATAAACTTTTTAAACCTTCCTGAAACTAAAAGAATGAGATTCTCAATGTCCCAGATGCTTTTATTCTTTGAAAACAGCGTTGAGGTTCGAGAACGCAACAACTAGGGAAAAGAAATAACAACGTTATGTCATAGGAAGTATGCCTGCATTGATCCAAATATTGATAAGTGGAAATAAGGATGCTGATAAACATGGTCATGAAGCCATGAAAATGTGGAATAAAAATTATAGCACCGAATATGCAAAAATGTTTTATCTGGTACTATATAGTTGTAAAGTTGGTAAAACATTTGATAACCTGATTTTTCAATATAACTTGAAATTCTAAAAGAATTTTTGATTGCAAAAAGAACACCAACCTGTTTATCTTTATTTACATTTGTTAAACAAATGACACCTATTTCGGCTTTCTTGGCAAAACAACCATCCTATCATCATAGCCTTCAGTCATTAACTTATTCTTCTAACTTATCTATCTAAAATTATTGTTTACCAGTTCAACGTTTAGTTGCAAAACTGGAAAATTTTCTACAAAAAAGACCATATAAGCAATTCAGCTGAAAAGTAGAGATTGACAGCAAGTTGAGATGTATCGGGATGCGCAAATACTGTGGTGTCTAAAAAGGACCCTGTTGAAGACATTTGATGACCACAAAGCAATAAACGGACGAGGATATTCCTTGTTATATTTATAGTCAAATATTTTTAGATTAATCATAAAGTAGGAAAGTCGGAGATGAACAGGAATTAAAAAAAGTTGTTACAAGTTGGCAGAATTAAACAAAATACTTCCAGAGGTTTCCAGAATAAAAAAAATCGGAAAGTCACCCAACCAAATCCAATTCTACACCATATTATATTAAACATAGAATAAAAACTTACTGAGACAATTATTTTGCCTTACACACTTAAGAAATCATTGCAGCGTACAAGTTAAGGATTTGTTATCCATGCGTTACATCATTTTGCTACTGTAATGCAAACTTAATTTGAAACTAAATCCAATCCAATAACCAATAAGAGAAATAGAGTCCGATTTTCAGACTCTTCGCCTATACACAGCTTGCGGATTGAAAGCTGTCACAAATAGTTGCTAAATACCTTAATTGTCTCTCTGAACCTATTAATATTATTATTATATGCTTGATAAGATGTTCCAAAAAAGAATAAGTGGCAACCTCTTGCTGTACCTAAACTTGAAAGGTCTACCGTGTAAATCGGCTCATTATAGATGCTATAGAGCGAACTAATTGATCTATCTAGACCAAAAATCTAAATATTATTATGCCAAGTGCAGTACATTAAGCGAGATGGATCAATTTTAACAATGAAAATTTTCATTGTGATTTGTTTTTTAATCTGTGTTTTTAATGAGTGGATAATTTTTGTTCAAGTTTCAACAATAATTTGTACAACTATGCGTTTTAATTAATTAAAACGATTCTTTAGGAAAATAAAATACATGGAAAAATAAAGGGTATCAATTTTATTTTGCAACGTTTGTTTGCGAAGTGAACTCAATGTTCTAAAAATCGAACCCAATCTCTGTAAAATATTATTAAAAATAAAACGTTGCTATGAAATAAAGTTAAAATAAAAAAAATTGACTAAAAACGTGCAAATAAATGTAACAATCCAATATTTTTTGTTAATAGGTCATGCAGTTTCCAGCGTTTACGCGACGTTTATATATTAATATTACGAAATTTGTCAATTAGTTTTTATTATTAATACAAAACTATCTGCATGGTTTTATTTTTCTAGTAATAAAATTTTTTGTGAATCCAGCAAAAAGCAAAGATAAAAGAGTTGCTATTAAAATTTTCGCCTTGAAAAGATGAAATTTTCGGCGACATTTTCCGCTACACACAAACTTTAGCGCAATACAAAATTTATATTTTAATTCGCAGAGTGCGGACACAAAAAACTTAATTCAAAGGAAATAATCCGGCACCCTTTCGCCTGCAAAATTATCCGGGAAAAGGCAGCGGGCGACGGAATTTTTAAGGAAAGGCCGTCCGGAGCGTTTCTGCCGACGGCGGCGGGTATAAAACCGTGCAGTTTATGATTGCGGTGTCCCAAGGTACACGGAATGTTTTCTTACGGGGGCGGCTGCGGTTACCGCCCTGCAGAAGGATCCCCGGAAAATTAGATGCAACCGTCGGTTTACCCGCCCAACTTCCACGGTAAAAAGGCCTTTGTTCTCTGAAAACGACAATACACGTTCATCTTTTTCTTATTTATTTAACATAACTAAAAAGGTACACTTCGGAATTTGTTGTCAAACATTAATTATTTGAAGGATTTCCTTCATTAGAACGGACCCAACCCCTGACGTCAACAAACCGCAAAACTTCTAATCACTTACCCGCAGTCTCTGTCCGTATTTACATAAGTTGTCCGGGTTCACAACTCACTCGAATCCGCGTTAAATGTACCCCACACTAATTCCGAGCGTCCCGCCGAATCTAATATATTTATTATAACCGAAGTTTGTCGTTGGTATTGTAACTTTTATCCATAACAAGTTCTCCGAGCGTCACAACCCTCCGATTTAATCCAAGCCTTGTATTCTGACTTACTAACGGCGAAATGTAAGAAACAACGAACCGGAATTAAGTCAGATTAAGATAGCGACCCGGAAGTGGTACACGGGTGGTTTTCATTAACGTAATTGTTTGTATTTTCAGTTAACTTTAAAGTTGAAATTAACGAAAGTTTAAATTGATAAATAGCGTAATAACGCAAACAAGAAGACAAACAAAAAAATTAAATTTCAACATTTTATTCATCGCGGAACGAAAGCAACAAATAAATTTCAATGTAATGTTTCAATGACAAAGAGGCCTTTGTCACAATTATTCTGTGCTTTGGTTATACAGAGAAAGAATGAAAACAAGTATTCAATAGAAAAATAAATCGTCGGATCACAACGGCATAAACTGAATCGGATTTAAATCAATAACGACATTGTCGTAATATTTGGATTGTGGTTGAATAGAGTTATAAATAAATTCTGCGTATTAACAACAAAATGTATATCATTGATTTTAAACTCACTACATCAACTAAAATTGTTTAATCCATTTTTCTCTCAATTTGTTTAAACATTATATTTTTTACTAAAACTTTTTTCTATAGTAATTTGAACATTATAGGATTGAAATATTTAAAAGTGGGTATTGGATTGGAAAAATCCTTTTTAGAGAGCACGATGCACTTCTTGGAAAGTGTTAAAGATGACACCGATGGCAACGACGATCGATTGGCCTCCTAGGAAATCATACTGTTTGTAGAGGAGTCTTGAAGCGCTTTCAACGCTTTTCAGTAATTATAATTTAAATTGTGTCAAATAGTTTAGCGGCAGTATAGATAAATATGCAATGAGGCGTGTAGGTACTATCTCATTGGATATTTAATGGATACAAATCTCACTTTCTTTCAGACTTGAAGGTTTATTCTTCCTCTGCTGCTTCTCCGATCACTTGTTTGAGATAATTACATCCAAAGAGATAGCTCTATGTGCATTTATAGACATAGGGGGTGCTTTTGATAACACCTCCTATGAG